AAAAAAAAAAAAAAAAAAAAGTCAAGTGACAAGGCTTATACAGTTTTTAACAAACATGCTCTGGACATGTATCTGGATTTCTCTTGTACTCCTCTCATAATCTGTCACTTTTTCTCCCCCACAGGGTACTCTTGCAGAGAGAATCAGGGCAGGAGGAGCTGGGGTTCCAGCCTTCTTCACTGCTACTGGCTATGGTACTCTTATCCAAGAGGGTGGCTCTCCTATCAAGTACAACAAAGATGGTAGCATTGCCATTGCCAGTGAAAAGAGAGAGGTGAGAGTGCTGTAATCCCTGTTGTAGTTTTGGAATTAAGTGCTGTAGCTGAACTTCAGTGGGTTACATGATAGTAGCCTTGAATTGTCCTCATAATGCACAGATTCCCAAGAGCTCTGGTCTGATCTGTTGTAGTGCAGAGCAGCACTGAAATCCAGTTTCTCTATACAGTAAATTACACAGTGAGTTGAATAAATCACCATTAGGTACTGGTATGCAACACATGTCTTGTGACTGAGGAAAAGAGCCTCGTCAAAATTGATATTTTAAGTGTAAAAAATATTTTGGAGATTTCACACAGGTGGTGTAATGTGTAACCCTGAATAGTAGCCATGGCAGATTTATTTAAATGCCACAGAGTCTATAGCATGACCAAGTTTAGACTCAACTACAAAGACCAAGTCTAAAATTAAAAACAGAACTTTAAAACAGCTCACTGTTTAGTTCATCCTGTAAGTAACTTCTCACCTGGTTGTACACAGGTGAGGGAGTTTGGTGGCAGGCACTACGTCATGGAGAAAGCCATCACTGGAGATTTTGCACTGATCAAAGCTTGGAAAGCTGACAAGGCCGGGAACATTGTTTTCAGGTAATTAATGACATGGATTGTTGTGTTAAAGTTGTCTTAAGTTTGAGATATTTGAACATATGAAACCATAGTGCATTTTAAGCCTTTATTAACTTTGTCAGCTCTTGTTTGCTCTCAGCCTGCAGATCTACTTTGGCGCATACATCGTCTTTAATTATTCAGACAGAATATTTTTGAACTGGACGGGGACTATCATTCATTACTACTAATATAGCTCTGTTCAATTATATGCATTGATACTGCAAAAGTTAGAAAAATCTAAATAATGCTCTCAATTTACTTTTGTCTTTAGATATTGTTTTTAGTTATAGCAAAGTTTAGGTTATGCATAGGTCCCTACATGAGTAACATTGAACCAATCCAGTGCATGTCCAAATTGGATGTAGTAAAATTCTTCACCACAAGAGAGCAGTGTCCTCTGGTACTCTGAGTCTAAACACCACATTGAGAGATTTTGAAATCACTTTCTGGTATATATAATATATTTGTTGCCACTACATTTTATTCAATATGTATGTCTTGCTTTGTGTTAGGAAAACAGCTAGGAACTTCAACCAGCCCATGTGCAAGGCAGCCAAAACCACAATAGTTGAGGTATGTAACTGCAGCATCACAGTCACATGCTTTTTAAAGCATGTGCAAACTTCCTCTTCAAACATTTCCACTAGTGGATTGGATGTGAGTGGAATATACACATAAGTTTTACTTTATTGTTTTACTGCATCCATTGTTTAAGTTTTCATTTTCTAGGCCCACTAGCTGAAAAAGGTAAACTTATAAATAAGTTGTACAAATCAACCATCAAACACAGTGATGAGTAAACACTGTCCAAATTAAGACTCTCAAACCCTTTTGGGCTATTCACAAATCAACAATAACAAATAAAATAAAATAAAAATAGATAAACAAAAACAACATTTAAAAAAGGAAAAAATTGGATATAGCATAAAATATTTCTGGTTCTCCCTTTCTCACTGTCCCTCTCGCTCACTGTCTTTCTCTGTGTGAGCTGTCAGTGTCAGAGGCACAACTCTTCAACGTGCTATTAATAGTATGCATGTAAGGAGCCTGGTCAGTAAAAAACAGAACTATAAATTAATGGCAGTATTAACTCTTAACTAGAATCAATTTAGCAGGTTATTAGAAAATAGTTTGAAACTAGCCAAGTGCTCTTGAGGTACAAACGGGGCCGGGAAGAGTTAACCAGTAAGATGAGGGGAGGAGAGTGGGGAGGATAACAGCCAATATGAGAGAGAAGCCAGTTTAGATCAGATGTATATAATTAAATTCTAAATCAGTTTAAGTGTTATGTAATCACAGTGTTATTAGTTTACAGTATATTGGTTATTTAAAATCTAGTGCTTAGGTCAATAATTTATTTAAAATCTAATGTTGCTGAAGACCACTGAAATAAGTTTTGCCAGCGGAAAATGCTTCATGTTGTGTTGGGTAGAAACAAAACAACTAAAAATGTATGATAGAGGTAAAAGGTCATGTGTGTATGTTTGTGAACTGAAATTGTCCACTTGAACAGGGGATATTCTTAGAGTCCTGGCATTAAAAATAAATGCAGTTTTTAGAGCTATGTGACCAGCATCAGAGTGTGTCCAGCTATTTCTGGGTTGTCTGTGACATACGTAGTTTCACTTTATAATATGGTAAGGTCTTCAAGGTGCCCTGAGATGAATTTTGCTGTGAATAAAACTGAAGTGAAATTGAATTCTGTCTGGTTACCCACCTGTCTAGCATTTGACCGTTTAGAAAAATGTTATTGTGTATCTCTTCCCTCCATGTGTATGTGTGTTTGTCTCTGTCTCCGCCTATCTAACACACAGCTTCACACCTCGCATATAGACATGGCTTGCTTCAGAGAGCAGCAGGGAGAAAAACTGTGTGAAAAACCATGAAAAAACTGGCACTTTCTGGAAATAAATTGCTAGAAAAGGGTCTCTCATAAATCTGAGTGCATTTTCAATTATTCCATTGTTGCTGAACCGGAGATTTAATCTGCTGTTGATTAGAAATGTCTGAAAACATAGGGGTACATTTTTATCACTATGGAGCTGTTATGTGTTCTATTTATCATTGCAGACCAAATTTCAGTGACCAGCCAAACCTTTGAGTATTGATAATAAAGAACCCATTTCATTTGAACCATTTACTATCCATTTATGAGTAATGCTGTTCAGAAACACCCTGGCTGTCGAGCTTGCCCGCAACATCTGATGAAAAACAGCCAACTACCTGCTCCAGGTTGGGAAGGAGTTGGGGAGTGAGGCTAGAGTGGAGCAGGAGATTGACAAGCGGGTTGTGTCTGCAGTAATGTTGATGTTGTAATGGTTTGTTAAAGTAAAGAGAGAGCTGAGGGCGTAGGCACAGCTGACGTTTTACAAGTTTATCTCTGTTTCTGCTGTCACCTGTGGGCATGTGCTGCATGTAGTGACTGAAAGAATAGAATCACAAATATGAAAGGTAGAAATCCAGTGGTAGAGTTAAGATTGTTCATGCATCTCAAGATGTCATGCTTTAGGCATGTTCAATCCAATGCAGAGCCTGGCTTTGGGTGCCCTATTATTCACCCAGAAGAGTAGATGCGGTGTCCAAAATCTGGATATATGATGGTAAATGAACTGATGGAATGACCTAATATTGTGTAAATATCAGTTAATTCTTGACAGTTGGTATAATGCAGTAATTACCGATGTTCAGTTCAACTCAATTCAATTTTATTTATATAAAATTCTGAGCTGAAGCCCCCTGTTGGGCCACAGAAGTACTGCAGATGGGCCGCAGTAATAACAGATATTTAGTTTGAAATTACTCACAGGTATGGTCTTTTCTTATTTATATACATTTTTTTAGTTATATAAAAAGTAGTTGGGTCAAACATTGGCCTTAACACTTTGGATATTACTGGGTAATATTAGCAATGTATAGCAAACAACTTTTATTGTTTGTTTTGAAAAAAATCACTTTCTCTTGTATTTTGATTAGAGTGAAGATTTAAGATTGAGTGTGACCCATGGGGATTTTCTGGTTTTTAAAGGGTCGCACTCTTGACTTACGGAATGACTGGTATGACTGGTTTACTTATTGAAACATGTTTGTGATGGCCTATTACCACTAAGAAATGTACTGCAGCTATTGGATTTAATAATAATTTAAATAATAATAATCACAATGCTAAGATCTAAGTATAATTGGTTGAACCGAATATTGCAACTATCTTTTTGAGCCTAGAATCACCTGAGTCATGTATGAAGCTGCTGTTGTTGGCAATTATAGGCCCAGGCTACAATAGAAGTGTTTTCCATAAGATACATTTGCAATCTTTTTACTTACCTACAGTGATGAGTAGCAGGCATTGGATGAAAGACAGGTTGATCAACGTGAAAAATTGAATGTGGGATTTGGATCACAACACAAGCTTGCAGGATGTACTTCACATTGCAAGATCTGAAAACAGTTATGAACATGAATGGCATCTGCAAATTTTCATGGATTGAGAAATAAAAAAAAAAGTTTACTCTTAATGTTTAGAATGGGATTATTCTAAATTATTAATACTATACTCTTCAGTAGAGTACTTGACATATATGGGTAAGCTAAAGAAATGTCATTTGAAGTGTTCTATTTAGGTAAAGAACTGATGTCAGTCAATTAACCTCTCCTAAAGTGCTTTCTCCAATCTGACACAAATCATTTTATTTTAGGACAGAAAGCTGCGCATCTGCATCTGAACTTAATTAATCTTTTTTTAAATGGAATTTGACGTTGCCTGCCAGTAGTACAACTAGACTGAGTCAAACAACTGCCAGTTTCAGACTGGTCTTTGAAGTTTTTTCTACTTTACTCCTTTTTCATATTGTGCTCTAATTACAAAACGAGTCATCCACATATCAACTTTTCTTTTTTAATCCAAGAGGCATTCATTGTAATTTGTGATGTGGTCTGATAAATGATATCAAATAGAATTTACATGTTTTGAATTCATAGTCTACTCCTGCTTTGTTTAACCATTTGAGTCACTTGTTTTTCTTTCTTTTTTTAAATTTTTTTATAATATAATAATGACACTAACCTAAAGTGAGTCCCCTTCCTCATTTCTGTTCACCCACTTTAAAATTAGTGTGCAGAGTGATAAATAATAACAGGTTCCTTATGTTAAATAAATGTCTAACTTAAAATCCCATTATGGTTCTCTGACTGCTTAGTTCTATCACAGTGATTTGTCAGATGGCCAGTTTTATGGTCCCTTTTTTATGGCAGTGGAGGTAACATATTAACATTATGACAATTTATTGAGGACTATAAAGTGATTGGCCCTATTAAGAGCCTTTTTGTCTTGCATAGTGCATATTGGCATAGAGACTAATTACTTGTCTCTATGCCAATAAATTTGTCCTCAGGATTCAGGACATATTTGATCATAAATCTGGTCATTTTGGAATCAATATTGACCCTGTTGTCTTGGTAAGGAACAGACAGAGTGAGGCGTTTCTCAAGCCATTCATTTAACTTGGTCAGCTTTTTAGCTAACGCCATTTCACCAAGCTTGTGTTGCACATCAACTGTACTGTATTTTTCCACTGAGCTACCTAATAATAAAACTACCCACCTAATACTGTGAAGGACCTTGCCCCTATAGCTCTAAGCTCTGGTGCATGGACACAGGGGATCTAGGGGTGTATGACAGTGAAACTTTAGAATACTATGGGTTACGAGGTGGGACTTTTTGGGATTAGGCTTATTCTAGAAATTGCCACAGAAGTTTGATCAGATATGTATCTGTGCGTATGGAGGCTGTGTCAAAACTCTGAGCTCTCTGTAGTCTTCTTTCTGTATTTTCCAAGCAGTTTCTGTGGTGCATGGGAGTGTCTTGTCTGTATGGGGCCTCCTGCTGGCGCCGGGGGAGTGGGATTGCCATCATATTACATTGGTTATCAGTGTTATTTCTGTCATCTGTCAGTTGTTTTAATGTTGTGGCTTATTGGTGTATAGAAAGACCCAACTGTTAAGCAATTACTGATGAAAAAGGGCAAAAATGCAGTCAAGAGCTTGACAGGACCCGGGGAACTTCAGGGAAATAATTTCCACACTCTGGCAGTTGTAGCTATACCTAAACAACTAGATTGATTTATTAAATGAAAGCTAGATTATATTAGTTTAAGTCTTGAAAATACTTAATCATCTGTGAAATTAAGTCCTGTAATCATAGCCAGACTAAAACCCAAATCCTATTAATGTGATTCTGGTCATTGGCTTTAATTAGTTACTAGAACATCCACACAGTTAAGTGTTTCAAAATGAGTTTCATAAGTATAGGCGACTTTCTTCTTCAGCAGTGGCAAAAAACTTATGTCCATTAAATTGTTGAATAAAGTTGTTTAGCTAACCCGTTCTTCTTTAATTTTCTTTCCTGTGCTTGAAAGGGATTGAACGGCATTTAACTCGCAGACTAAAAGAAGAAACCTGAAGTATATGGAATATCTATACTTAATATGAACATAAAATTATAGCTTTCATTAAAAGCATCTCTTTGAACTATTTACATACTGTCAGGAATCAAAGTCATCAAAGTCAAATTTACTGAG